CTATGAAATGTTCATATTTACATGAATCTATTTCTGGGCTCTCTTTTATTCCATTGATCAATTTGCACATATATCAGTAACACACTGTCTTAATTACTAAAGCTTTTAAAAGTCTTGATATTTGGTAAAATAAGTCTTTTTATACCTTGTTCTTCAAGATTTTGGTTGTGATCATTTCTTTGCACTTTTATACAAATTTTAGAATTTCAACAAAACAAAAGGGTTAGGATTTTGATTGGGATTGTATTTTATCTGTGAACAAATTCTTTACAATAGTACATTTTTTGGTGAGTTAATGTTGTCTTTCCATTGTATCTTTGAATAAAGTCTTATAATTTTCTTCATAGAAATACTGTATACATATATTTTGTTAATCTTACTTTCTTGTATCTTTATGTTTTTGATGCTGTCATCATAAATGATATCTTTTAAGTTTTTAATTTTTTGTTGGTTTGTGGGAATACTTTTTAAATTGATTTTTCTATTCAGCAACCTTGCCTACTACTAACTCCATTCTACAAGTCTCAATATCTAGCATTTTAGTTATTCATTAACTGCAAAGTTTTTTTTTTCATTATCACTACTACTCTTTGATCCATAGATATTATTTGGAACTATAATTTCCAAACATGAATATTTAAGTTTTCCTTTATTGTTGATTTTTTAACATAATTGAATTGTGATCAGAGGATATATTCTCTATATGATTTAAATTCTTTGAAATGTGTTAATGGTTGCTTTATGGCATAAGTGGCTGGTTTTTATAAATTTTAGGGTGCTTGAAAAGAAAGTTCTGCAGTTATTTATGTTCATTAATCATTTTAGTCGTGTTCATTAATCATTTTTCAAGTCTTCAGTATCCTTAGTGGTGATTTTTTTGTTTTTTATATATGTCTCTCGATTACTAAGATAATTGTGTTAAAATCTAGCTAGCATGATTTTAGATGTGTCCGTGTGATTCTTTCAGTTTCTCTCTTTTTCAATTTTGGGGACATACTGGGATACAAATGTACAGTTGTATTTTCCAGGTTAATTGAAAGAAGCTTTATCATTACAAAATTATCTTTATTTCCACTAATAAATTTTGCCTTAAAATTAATTTTATTTGATATTAATGTAGCTATACGAGCTTTCGTTTGACTATCACTTGTGTAGTATATCATTTTCCACAGTTTTACTTTCAGCCTTTATATATATTTATTTTTTAGAGGTGCCTCTTATTTATATCATATTGCTGTTACTATTACTATGTGTCCTATCTGTTCTGTGTTTCTTTTTCTCTACTTTTTTTTTTGATTGTTGTTGTTGTTGTTGTTACTCCTTTTTTTCCTCTAGCTATTAGATCGGAAGTTGGGTATATTTCTGTTCATGGTTATTCTAGAAATTTCATTATGCATCTCTGACTTACCAAAGCCTAAACTTGCCCAGACTTCTGGGCAGTACAGTAGCCTTAGAACACGTTAACTCCATTTACTGTCCTCCCAGCTTATATACTGTGGTTGTCACATATGTTGTATCTCTTTAAATGTAAGTCATTACTATTGTTTTATATAGCTAATATTGACTTAGATTTACCCACAAATTTACCACCTTTCTTACTCTCCCTTCCTTGCTGTGTCTTTGAGCTTTCATCTGGAGTAATTTTTCTTTTGCCTGAATATACGTTTAGAATTTACTTTAGTGCAGTTCACCTGGTGGCACATTTACTTTGTTCTTGTTTTTTGAAATGTCGTTATTTTGCCTTCTTTTTGAAGGACTTCCCCCTGCCCCCCACTTGACAGAATTCTAAATGGATGGTTATCTGGAAAGGTAAAGATAACTTTCTGTTGTATTCTGACTTCCATTGTTACTGGGAAGAAGTCACCTGTCAGTCTATTGCTCCATTGAGACTAATCCATTTTTTTTCCTCTGGTTGCTTTCAGGATTTTCTCTTTGTAATCATTATTATTATTATTATTATTATTATATTTATTTTTTTTGGAGTTTCATTATGTTGTATATAAGGGGATTTTATTGTATTTTCCCACTTGGGCTTTGTTTGGCATCTTGGATCTGTGGGTTGATAACGTCAGTTCTGGAAAATTCTCAACCATTGATTTGTTCAAATTTTGTTTAGAATCTTACATCTGTATTCATGAGAGATGTTGGTCTGTGGTTTTCTGTTTTTGTAATGTCTTTTGTCTGATTAGTATGACACTAATGCTGGCTTAATAGAATGATTTCACAAGTATTCCCTCCTCTTGAATTTTTTTGAAGAGTATGTGTAGGATTGGTATTATTTCTTCCTTAAAAGTTTTGGTAGAGCTCACTTTACCATTGAAATCACCTGGACATGAAGTTTTCTTTGTGGGAACATTTTTCACTATACCTTTAATTTCTTTGATAGATGTAGGGCTTTTAAAATAAAATAAAATGTTTTATCTTGACTGAGTTTGTCTTTTAAGGATTTTTTCCATTTCATCTAAATTGTTGAAGTTGCTGGCATAAAGTTGTTCATAATCTTTCCTTAGTAACCTTTTAATAACTGGTATGTCGTGTTACCTCTCTCATTTCTAATATTGGTAATTTGCATCTGGTCTCTTTTTTCTTGACTTACCTGGCTAGAAGTTTATTGATTTTGAAATCTTAGTAAACCATCTTTTGGTTTTATTTCTGGGGGAATAAAGTACCATAATCAAGCTTAGTAATCCTTTTTCTTACCTTCCTCCAGGATTTTGACTAGATGGGATTCTTTGTCTAATGAAGTGACCTAAACCTTCATTTCTACAGAATGGAGCCGTTGATAGGCCTGTCTTGTTGCAGTTTTCCACTGACTAGGACTGTTAGCACTAAGGGGCATTCCGGTGAATTTCCTAGTTTCCAGATATAGCCTTCCTGTTTCCATTGTATAACAGAAACACAGTTTTCCTCTGATAACTGGAATTAGCTATGCTGGCCAGTCCATTGAGCTGCTTTTCTGTTAGTTTAATGGCATGAGGAACCTCAAAAGACCAGGGCCAGTCTCAGCTCCTAAATCATCAAAACGTGATTCTTTTTCCTGAAGGAAGTGTTCTACTCTTAGACTCTAGAATTTCTAAACCCACCAAGCCCAACATTTTGGGAATGGGAAGCAAAAATTATTCATGTAGATTCTTAGGTATGCTATTGAACAGAAACACTCCTTCTACCCTTTGGCTCTGAGACCTGTGCATCCTGGTAGTGGGGAGACAACTCCATATACTGACTGCATATTAAATTAATATACCACATTCTATGGGATAGCACCCTACCTTTTCATGATGTTGCCTCCCTGATACCTCTGTAACTGAGCTCTCATTTTGCCACTCAACCATTCTATCAAGCTAGCTACTTCTAGGAGATAAATCATGTGTTAAAACCATTGAATTCACTTCCATTGCCATAAACTGTGTACCTGGTTGGAAGAAATGTTTTTGGGATTCCTATGCAATGGATAAAACCCTCAGAAATGTGAAGAATATTAGTGCCAGTGGAAACACTGCAGGCAGAGAATGCAAATTCATACCTTGAATGTGAATTATTTTTGTGAAGACAAAGTGCTACCTATTTCTTATGGAAATTGCCCAGTGTAACCATCATGTTACCGGGTTGCCAGCAAGTCTCATTGAGAATAATGCCATATTAGGAACGCAGCCTTGGAAATATAGTCACACTCCACATTGTTGCCAGGTTGGACACTCAGCAATGATAGTAGCCAAATAGTGTAGGTGAGGAGAAGACCATACTATTGAACCTCCATCATTGCTTTGATGGCCGCTTGGTACGTGGGCCCATTAACCAAGCCCTGGATTGGCTGGAGAAAGACTGACATCTACCAGACAATTCATCTTGTTCCCCTTATTACTGAAAATCTTCTCCACCTGATGTATCCTATTAGGCACTTATGTGGGACATGAATATCTTCACATGCCCTCACCACTCCAAGAGGGTTATCTGTAAGCCTCACTGACAGATCTTTTACAAATTTTCCATTTTGTTCTTTCCAATAACCTAAAAGCTGGATGATCCATTAGACACTGCCTATAAGTCAGTATATTTATCAGTTTGTCATGTCGTCCTCGCCTTTTTTGAATGTGAATAACCAGGTATGTAGCTAGCATTTGCCCACTAGGAAGATTCCCTGTCCCCATTACCATAGATCTGAAATTGTCTCACTTCTTTACATACCTGTCCGTCTCCCAGATTAGACTATAAAATCTCCATGAGAACTAGGACTGTGTCTCCTGTTCACACAATATCCCTAATGCCTAGCACATAGAATGTACTCTAATCATATGTGGCATGAGTGATTGATGCATTTTCTTGAACATTTGGAGAGAAAATGTTAAGCAATTAAACTTGTAACCAGTTGAAGATTTTTTTTAGTACATGTGACTGTATTATGAAGAACAATGCAAAATTTGGAGCAATTTAAAAAGATGAAACAGTTCAAGTAAATTTGCCCATGATACTAGTGACTTCAGGCTCTTTTATGTATGCAACCTAAGTGATGAATAGGTAAGTATGCGTTTATGGAATCTCATTGGTGGTATTTCAGTGGAAAGATTTGAAAAGCTCTGATTTTGAAGGGTTGTCAGAGAAAGAGGAACAGGCAGAGGAAACTGAAAGAAGAATTTTAACAAGCAGGATGAGCATAAAGGCAAAGTGGGGTTGTCAACATCAAGGAAACAGTATTGGGAGACAATGGTCAATTCTGTCAATCGCCAAAGAGAGACTCCCAGGAAAAATGAGGGCAACAAAAGTATCAATGGATTTAGGAGGCCACTGCTTACCCAAAGAGTTTAGGTAGAATTGTTGGGAGGTGCAGTGGTTGGAGAATCAACTGCATGAATAATGAATTGTGTTGACACGGTACATAATACGGTATTTCTGACTACATTGTGGCATTTCACCAAGTAATTACTACCTGAAGTGCCTACCTTCAGTAAGCCATCTGGTTGTTGGATGGGGAAAGAGGAGGAGGAAATAACTCTTAGCTTTACCTGTACTGTGCTTCTGAGACCCAGGTATGAACCTTCACTCCCAATTTGCTATCCATGTTCTCATCCGATGTTCAGTAACTGGGTTCTCCTTTGGCAGGGAGTAGGTATTGCCTGAGAATTAAAAGGGGAGGGGAGATTTCTGAACTGGAGCTCTTAGGTTATGACTAGGATTGGGTGCCTGAGGAAGCAATGGAGAGCTTTATAAGGCTTCTTATGCTTCATTTACCTAATTGCTTTTTTTTTTCTCTCCTGATATTCAGTGGAGTTCCAATCTGTTCCGTTGTGGAGAA